AAGTCTCCCAGTGCTTGTGGTCAGCTGGCCAGTTCTCCAGCCCCCTTCCCAGACCTCTGTCCCCACTGACCGCAATCTGGGGGTGCGGCCAGCCCTCCCTGGGAAACACCATCCCGGGGCAGCTTTGCCCACCCAAGCCCGTGCCCAGCAAGCCACGTGACCCAGCACGGCTCAAGGGAAGCCAGAGCTGAGGGTGTCCCTAGACCCTGGCTTGGGGTACCAGGCTCTGGGCTCTGCTGTGGGCCCAGAAGGAGGAGGGGGCCAGATCTTGCGTCTTCATCAACTTGAGAGAGAGCCCCAACGGCCAAACCCAAAAACCCGGTCGAGGGGAAGCCGCCTTGCTCAAAACGGGCCCCGGGCCGTTGGGAGGGCGGGCGGGCAGGCGCGCCGCACAGGGCCTGCCCAGCAGCAGCGAGACGAGGGTGAGAAGGCACAGTTTCTGTGACACAAATTGAAAACTCCCGCACCGGGGCTGAGCTGGCCTCTTTCACGATCTGAATGAGCAGCCCCGGGGTGCCCTTCCCACCTTCAAGAAATGGGGCCCAGGGTCTCAAAATGCTCCAGAGCAGAGAGCCCAGGCGAACGGACCCGCGTCTCCCAGCCCAGCCACAGGCATGGCCAAGGGCCACGCTGAAGGCTCTCCAAGCCGGAGGACAGCTGTGCGCGCCTCTCTCCTCTGCAGTCAACTATCCCTGCTCAAGGAATTCCAGGTTGACCTGGAGGGAAGAGGAACGCTCAGCAGATGTGTGGCCCCAGGCAAGCGGCTCAGCCTCCCTGGACGGGAATGAAGACCACCAGGGTAGCTTGCAAGAGGCTCCGAGGGAATGATACCTAAGGACTAACGGCAGCACAGAAGAGGGGTTCGGGGCACAGCGCCCGGCCGCTGCAGCCGACACGGAGTCAACGGCTCTTGCTGTGTCTTGGTTTCTTCATGGAACTCCGTGAGGCCGAGATTACATCATCCGTGTGGACATCGGCGCCCGTGGGAGCGAATGACCAGGAGCTGAGACTCCAAGATTCAACCAGGCCCCACCCAGCCCCGCCTGGCCTCTCACACACCTTCAAGGTCCTCGACCCCTTCCCTGCCTCTTCCCTCTTCCCCCCTCCCCTGCACAAAAGAGAGCCACGCTGTGTTGGCAGGTGAGGACCAAAGGCTTGGGGTGGCCCTTGGGGGCCGGCCTACGGGCAGCCATGTCTTCCTGGGCACAGGAACTCGGGGCTGGGGAAAAGCCTCCTTCCAAACCGGAAGCTGCTCAGCTTGGAGTCCCTGGAAATTTTTTCTTCGTGATGATCCTTCCCAGAAACGCGTGATCTCAAAAGCACCCAGCACCTAGGTCAGCCACTCTTTAACCCCACCCCTACCCCGAAATTCCCGACCTCACTGGTCCACACCCAAGATGGGTTACCTTATGACTTTGTAACAGACAGGAGTGATCTGACCCAGTCCCCTCGGCCACACACCAGAATTTCCCCAAGTTCCCATTACGTGTCTTGAAAATGGCCCATTCTGGACCTGCCGGGCACCTGCACAGCCAGCGTCTCAGCACACCTGGACGGAGAAACCACCCGGCAGCCCCCGCGGTGGTGGCTCAGGGCCCGGCCGGGGCTCTGGAGGCAGAAGGGCTGCGCAGGGTAACACAGGAGCAGCTCCTGGCCTTTCTCCGGGCCTGTGCCCCGAGCTGAGGTTTCTCCTCCCCATCGACAGTCAAAGTGGCCTTTCTCCGGGGTAACTGAAAAGACCGTTCCGTGCTTCAAGAAACCTCAAGCCCTCAACGTCAAGATGAGTCAGAGGAGGGGGAGGCAGAGCACTGGACCCTGAAGAGAGCATGGGGAAGCGCTGATCCGTGGACTCCACGTGGGGGCTAATGGAGAGGCGAGAGCCGTGAGGCTGCACAGGGCCAGCCCCACCAGGACCACAAAAGCCCAGGCACGAGCCGGGGCGGGGGGAACAGCGGTAGGGCCGCGCCCAGAAACAGAAGTGCAGCCGGGAAGGCAGGCTGGCTCGCAGGGACCCTGGAGGGCCTCAGGGCCCCGCTAAGCCTTACACTCCACCGTGCTTGGGGCCAGGAGGGCTTTGAGGGATTGCGGAGGAAGGCACGGTGGGGGTTGGCATCCAAGCTATGCATTTTTTTAAGATTTATTTAATTATTTGAAAGGCAGAGTTACAGAGGCAGAGGCAGAGCAAGAATGAGAGAGAGAGAGAAAAGTCTTCTATCCGCTGGTTCATTCCCCAAATGGCCGCAACAGCCAGAGCTGCGCTGATCTAAAGCCAGGAGCCAGGAGCTTCTTCCAGGTCTCCTACGTGGATGCGGGGGCCCAAGGATCTGGGTCATCTTCCACTGTTTTCCCAGATCATAGTAGAGAGCTGGACCTGAAGTGGAGCAGCCAGGACTTGAATCGGTGCCCATATGGGTTGCTGACACGGCAGGCGGTGGCTTTACCCACTATGCCACAATGCCGGCCCCGCAAGCTATGCTTTAGAAACTCATGTCCAGCAGCAGCGTGCAGGACAATCTGCTCGAGGTGGCCTGATGTCATTGTCTGTGCTTCCTTCCCCCTTAGAAACTCCTTAGTCCGGAATCTCTCACTCCACCAGAGCGCATTAGCCCACTGCAACCTGGGTGTCATGCAGCTAACCTTCCAGCAGGTGGTGCTGTGGCCAAGGACACCGAAGCACCAGGCACATGCAGCTTCCCCAGCCCCTAGAAGATGCCCCAAACAGGGGCCCACGCATTTCCCATCCTTACCTAGACTGGAGATGCAGGGGGAGGACCGCAAGTCTTGCCTCGGCGTTCACGTGTGGCTTCACAATGACTTCACAGTGACCCTCTGCGGGCCAGGCTCTGGCTAGGAACTGAAGGTCCAGGCAGGGGAGGGTCCCTGTGGTGCTCCCAGGTGGTAGGTGAGCTGCGGCTTCCACAGCAGGCCCTCTGCCAAGTGTTCTCTCCGCTCAGCCTCGGGAGGAGATGGGTTGCAGGTCGGCCCAAGGCTCAACCACAAAACAGAACTGAGCAGCTGTCCAGGCCTTGTGCTACCCTGGGGTCTCCACCTGGACCCCACGAGAGCCGCTGACTTCCAGCACGTGTCCTTTTCCAACCTGTCCCTGCTCCCCCTCCCACCCGCCCTCAAAGGCCTTGGACCAAGGAGAGAAAATATATACGCGCACTTCAGTTCTGCACAGGAGAGCGAAGCCGTTGTGTCGGGGAATCATGTCTGCTCCGCACCTGCCACAGGGCGGCTCCCTCAGGGTTCTCTCGGGCCACCCCCACTCATCAGTGCACACCTCCTGGGCGCCTGCTCCATCCTGGGCTTGCAGGAGATGAAGAGGAAGAGGTGGCTGCCCCCCACAGGCAGGCTAAGGGGTGACTGGGGAGCCAACAGTCAGCTGCAGGAGGGTGCTGGGCCCTGTGGGTCCTGGAGCACTCGTCCGTTCACTGCTCCACGGAGATTCCATTCTCAGTCTGCCCCCGCGGGAGACCTCAGCTCCGTCCTCGTCCCCCCCACTCCCGGGGCCTCGCCTCCTCTTCCTGCAGCACATGGAGTGGGGGCTGGGGGGCTCTCAACCCACAGGTCAGGGTCTCCAGGGGTGCTCAGGGCCAGAGTGGACTTCCCAGCTTCACAGGAAGCCCGGATGGACCACGATGGGCGTGGGGAGGCCCGGGATGGAAGCCGGGCAGCGGGCCAGGTGTTCAAAGGCGCAATCTGGTTCTGATGTTCTCTCTGGGCCCACGCGGGGGCCTGGAGTGGGGGCAAAGGCTCCCAGCAGCACCGCGCCCACCCCTCCCGCCGCTCCCCTTAACAACAAAGATTTGCAGCTGCCAAGCCCTGACTTCTGCTCGTCTTGTCTCCCACAGGGAAGCCGATGAAAAGCCTGCTGGTCGTGGCACTCCTTGTGGTCTTCCAGGTGAGGATTCCCACCTGGGGAGCTCTCTGCCTCCCCAAACCACACTCCGCCAAGCCAGAGGGTGCAGGAGCCGGGGGAAAGAGGCCCGGACGCCCACCCACCTGCTGCCTGTGCCGCCCTCCGGCTGGGCAGTGGCCCTGGAGAGGCACAGATGCTTCCTGGACGTCCGTGACTCCATCAAATTAAAACCTGGGGCGGGGGAGACAGCTGTTCTCCACCCTGCCCTCTCCATTGCCAATCACCCCAGGAGTCAGCAATGTGGAGTCCGCCTGAGTTCCCAGAGAACTTGAGAAAGCAAAGGCTGGGCGGGGACCAGGTTTTGCACACAAGCGCACACATGCACACGTGTGCAGTTCCACATGTGAGGTGAACACAGATGACCTGGTTCCCATGCTATCGCCCCAAGAAGTCCCCCTCGCAAACTTCTACCACAGGCTCCCCTGGCAGGCTTTGTGAATCAGAGCCCCCGCGTCCGGCCTCCCTGTGGGATGAGGACAGGCTGGGGCCGGGGGATGCAGGGCTGGGGTTGGAGCAGGCAGGCGTTTTTGGAGGCCTGCATGCTGCGGGAGCAAAACCTCCAGCGTTCCAGGTTCAGGTTTTAGTCCCAGAAGTGGGGACGAGGAGGTGCGCCCCGGCCAGGGCTCTGATTAGAAGGAGCTGCACGGTTCCCTGTGTGGCCGGGGTGGGATGCGGGCGGCCAGGCCGGAGCCACAGGGGCGCACTTCAGAATCTGGCTCTTGCCCAGGTCTGGAGGCCAGGGGGCCAGCTCTCCAGGAGCTCAAGCCAGAGGCAGGCCCCACGCTGGGCACTGTTCCCAAAACCCCATCCCAGAGGCCCCCCACAGCTTGGGCTGCAGCCCACAGCCTGGCCCCTCCCTCCTACCCCTCCACCCCCACCCCTGTCTCCAGTTCTCCGAGGGGCTGGGGTTGTGCGCTGGCGCTGGCGTGCAGGCTGGAAAGTCGGGGCGGGGAGGGGGCCAGCTGTGGCTCATTCTCCTCTTTCACTTGGGGGAGGGGGCGGGCAGGATGTGGTGGGGCTGTGGGCTGCAGAAGTTTCAAGGCGGGAGGGGGTAGAGCAGGAGCAAGGTGGGAGGAGGAGGCCAGAGCCAGCCCTGGGGGGCCGGGAGCACTCTTCCCGAGGCCCTCTGTCCAGCACCCCCAGGCTGAGGTGCCCAGCCTCCACCAGCGGCTCCCAGGCCTAATAGGGAAAAGGGGGGTGGACGTCACTTCGTCCTCACCCGTCCCCAAGCAGGGCTCAGGGTGTGGTGGAGCTGCTGAGAGTCCAGTTCCCCCGGAGCTTCTCAAGGGGTCTTCCTGCCCCACACACAGCAGCAGGGGCCCCAGTGGGCGGCCGAGGGCCTCCTCTTTCATTGATAGAAATCGCAGCAGGCTGCTGAACCCCGCCCCCACAGACAGGCTAAAAACAGCCCTGGCAGCTGAGCCCGCTGATTGGGATCTGCCGGAAGAGACCGGAAGAGACGTGAGGCAGGCAGGCCCAGGGGGCGGGAGCGCAGAGGGAGAGTGGGAGAAGGCGGCCCACTTCCTCCCGGGGCCACAGCTGCGAGGAGTGCCCCACGCCCCACGCCCCACGCCCCACTCCCCGGCATCGCGAGCCTGAAGTCACTTGCCACCCGTGATCACAGCGCTCTGGCCCACGCCGGGACAGCACTGCTTTGGCATCCTCCAGGGGGTCCCCACCCCCCACAAGATGCTCCAAACAGAGTCCCATGTGTTTCCTTCCCTACTCAGGCCAGAGCGGTGACGGGCAGCAGGAGTGCTTCTAAGTCTGGCCTTGGTGTTGGTGACTGATCCCCCGTGGGCCAGGCTGTGGCTGGGAACTGGGCGGGGGGGCGGGGCTCTCTTCTCCTTCCGCCTTGTTCCCATGGTGGATTTTCCCTCAAAAGCTAAGGTACTTTTAGACCCCCTGGGAGGCTCTGCCAGATTGTAAGGGGGAAAAGACACAACTTCCTACTCTCATGGGGTTTCCAGAGGGCAGCGTCAAACCCCCGGAGAGCCGGCACAGGGCCAGCACCCGGGCTGGGCACCTCACACCAGCTCCCAAAAGGAGCTCGGACTCGTCTCCGTTTCTCACCTGAGAACACGGAGGCTCAAAGGGAGTCGGGGCGCTTCACCAGCCACAGGCTCAGCCACCGAGTCCCTCAGCCCCTTGCCACTGATCGGTAGAATCCCACAACGTACCCTGTCACAAGAGGTAAGCCCAAGGCATGCTGGGACTGGCGAAGCAGTGATTTCAAACCAGAGAACCACCTGGAAAGTTCAGATCCCTGGGCCCCAGCCCCTGAGGCTCTGGCTCAGCAGGTGTCCAGCACAGGGCGCCATTTGTCTCCCGGGTGAGGCTGATGTGGCTGGCGGCGGGACATCCTTGCTCTCGGCTGGACTTGGCCCCGCCCAGCAGCTTGTCTCCCCCTCCCCCGCAGGTGTGCCTGTGCCAGGACGAGGTGACAGATGACTACATCGGGGACAACACCACGGTGGACTACTCGCTCTTCGAGTACGTGTGCTTCAAGAAGGATGTGCGGAACTTTAAGGCCTGGTTCCTCCCCGTCATGTACTCGGCCATCTGCTTCGTGGGGCTGCTGGGCAACGGGCTGGTGGTGTTGACCTACATCTACTTCAAGAGGCTCAAGACCATGACCGACACCTACCTGCTCAACCTGGCCGTGGCCGACATCCTCTTCCTCCTGACGCTTCCCTTCTGGGCCTACAGCGCGGCCAAGTCCTGGATCTTCGGCGTCCACTTTTGCAAGCTCCTCTTCGGGATCTACAAGGTCAGCTTCTTCAGCGGCATGCTCCTGCTCCTGTGCATCAGCATCGACCGCTACGTGGCCATCGTGCAGGCCGTCTCGGCCCACCGCCACCGGGCCCGCGTGCTGCTCATCAGCAAGCTCTCCTGTGTGGCCATCTGGCTGCTGGCCGTGCTGCTGTCCACCCCGGAGCTGCTCTACAGTGGCCTTCAGAAGAGCAGCAGCGAGCAGGCCCTGCGGTGCTCCCTCATCACCCAGAACGTGGAGGCCTTGATCGTCATCCAGGTGGCCCAGATGGTGATCGGCTTCCTGGTGCCCCTGCTGGTCATGAGCTCCTGCTACCTCGTCATCATCCACACCCTGCTGCAGGCACGCAACTTCGAGCGCAACAAGGCCATCAAGGTGATCATCGCCGTGGTGGTGGTCTTCACGGTCTTCCAGCTGCCCTACAACGGGGTGGTCCTGGCCCAGACAGTGGCCAATTTCAACACCACCAGCAGCAACTGTGAGCTAAGCAAGCAGCTCAACATCGCCTACGATGTCACCTACAGCCTGGCCTGCTTCCGCTGCTGCGTCAACCCTTTCCTGTACGCCTTCATCGGCGTCAAGTTCCGCAACGACCTCTTCAAGCTCTTCAAGGAACTGGGCTGTCTCAGCCAGGAGCGGCTCCGGCAGTGGTCTTCCTGCCGGCACACCCGGCGGGCCTCGATGAGCGTGGAGGCTGAGACCACCACCACCTTCTCCCCGTAGGTGGCTCCTCTGCCTGGACCAGAGACACTCCCCCTCCCCTGGGACCCCCTGCAGTGGGGACCAGGAACAGACGCAAGGACCCACCTGGAAGCTGCTGAGGGCAAAGCAGTTCTGGCCATGACCCCAGAGCAGAAACCTGTGCCCCCAGGAAGACGGCTGACTCCCAACCCTAGCTACCTCGAACCAAGGCTGCGAAGAGAAGTGGCTGATGGACCTACGCCGGAACCAGCGAAGCTGTTGTGCCCTAAACAGAAGGCAGGAGTGAATGTCACGCAGCTACACACACCTGCAGGGGACGGGACTGGCGCGTGCTGCGGTAGTGGACCTGGGCCTGTGAGTCCTCCGAATGACTTGGAAAGAGGCTGCCCCAGACATTCCAGGGCCAAGGCCAGGTCTTCCAGAAAACCAGGCCTTGTCTCCGAGACCACTATGGTGGTAGGGAGACCTCCTGGCCTGGGGCGGGAAGTAGGGTGTGAGCTGGTGAGATGAACTCTCTCTGAATCCCTCCCTCCATCTCTCTTGCCCCACTGTCATCTATGCCAGCCGGACTGGCAGCCCCCAGGCTTCCCAGGAGCACACCCTGCCTCCGGGCGCCACCTGCCGGGGAGGGGAGGGGTCTCCTGGGGGCCTGACCTCGATTCCTCGATTCTACCCAGGGCTCTGGAGGCAGGTCCTGGCCGTGCAGGGGTGAGGGAGGCGAGGGCAGGGAGAAAGCTCGGGGACAGTGGAGGGTGACCGCCGGCCGCCAGGGGCCAGCGAGCGTCCTGTTTGTTCTTTGTCACAGAAACAGAGAATCTCTCGCCTCTGTTCTTTCAGCTCATGAAGAGAGCACGTTTTCCTCACAAATAAAAGCTTTCCCTTTTCCTTTAAAAGAAAAGGGGTGCAAACCGTCTGGGGTGAATGGCAAATAAGTGCGGTCTTGCTTGGCGATCGCCACGCCCTGCCTGACCTCAAGGACCCTGCTCTCCTGCCTCTCCGGTCTCCACCTCTCAGAGATGCACGGAGCACAGGTCACTGAGCCACCGGCAGCCTGTCCAATGACACGGGCCCAAGAGGAGGAGAGGTGGAGGGAGGGCGAGGTCAGGGCGTCGGGCTTGCGAAGGCTCTTCCAGGGCGCATGCCAACCAGAGACCCCCCTCTGAGCAGGGCTGCGGGCGGCCCGGTCCCCTCCACGGCCAGAAGCGCTGTCGGCTCTCAGCAGTGCCAGCACGCTGCTCTGGCTTGGTCTGTGGCCGTCCCCGCAGACCTCCCAGCGGGCCCAGAGAGCACGGTGCATGCTGGGGGAAGGAGTCCAGGGTGGAGGCCTTTGCTGGGTGCTCGAGAGCCCTCCGCGGTGTGTGTCCTGGTCCGTTCCTGCCATTGTTACACAAGATCACAGACTGGACCATTCACAAACAAGAGAAACTTCTCTCACGGTTGTGGGTGCCAGGAAGTATGAGATCAGGGCATCTGCCACTGCCGGGCCCGGGGAGAGGCTGCTGGCCGTTGGCTTCCAAGACTGCACTTTCTTCCTCTGGAGGGGACCAACGCCAAGGCCAAGTCCTCACAGGCTGGGAGGGCTTAGCTCATTGCTGCCAGCCCTTCCATTAAGGGCATTCATTCCATTCGCAAAGACAGAGGTTCCATTTCTATTTCTATTTCTTTCTTTCTTTCTTTCTTTCTTTCTTTCTTTCTAAGATTTATATATTTACTTATGTGAAAGAGTTACAGGTGGAGATGGAAGGACAATGAGAGAGAGAGGTCTTCTATCCGCTGGTTCACTCCCCTAACAGCCGCAACTGAGCCAGGCCAAAGCCAGGAGCCTGGAGCTTCATCTGGGTCTCCCTTGTGGTTGGCAGGGGCCCAGGCACTGGGGACATCTTCCGCTGCTTTTCGCAGGCCATTAGCTGGGAGCTGGATCAGAAGTGCAGCAGCAGGGAAACAAACCGGTGCCCACAGGGGACGCCAGCGTCGCAGGAGGTGGCTTTACCTGCTGTGCCACGACGCGGGGCCCCCAGGCTCCACTTCTACTACTGTCGCCTTGGGGTTTAAGTACCGACATGTGACTTCTGGGAGGACACATACTCGCACACGCCACAGCAGTGTGGTTGCCCACTGTGGAGGGACCGGCAGAGAGGAGCAGACGCTGCGGGGGGTCTGTGTTGCTGGTGCCCACCCACAGGTCCCCCGACTTCTCCCAGTCGGGGAGGTCGGTCCAACCCGTGACGCATGGGTGCTGCCAGATGGGGGCCCAGCGCGCCAGCAGCTCAGACCCCCGGGGAGGGGCGAGCCATGATTCCATCCATTTTCCCAAGGGCCAGGAGCCTCGTGGAAAATGCAGCCTGCCTGGTAATGACGCTCTTTCTCTCATCTTGCAACCACACGCTCGGCGGGGTGCAGTGGGCCGGAAGGGCTTTAACGCGATTTGTCAGCTGGCCTCCGAGCTGGAAACGAGTGCCCCGGGAGGACTGAGCCTGGCACGGGTGTGCCGTCGGCGTTCACAGTGAGGGCATTAAACATTGAGAGGTGCAGCTGCAGCCTTGTGCGGGCGTCCCCGGGGGGGGGGGGACCTGCCCCAGGCCCGCGTGGGCGGGTGCGTCCTAACGAGCCTACAACGGGAAGACAGCCCTGGCTCTCTGAAGGCAAGGAATGCTACAGAGCGGTCAAGGGAAGGAAGCCAGGCCAACCGCGCAAACACGCCCCCCCTCCCCCGCTGCGGATACATTTTTCTAGAATAACTAGACATCGCCAAATATTTACAGAGGGAACAAAAGCCCCAACGAGGTTAATTCTCCAAACTGCTATGTCTCAAGTTCTCATCACAGCTTGCTGCTGGCCCACTCCCTGCTCCGTGCCCAAGGCGGCTCTCAGGCGCTTACCTACGCGATTCTCTCTCTCTCTTCTCTCTCGCTTTCTCGTCCACTTCATACAACTGCCCCCTCTCCCCAGGTCCCCAGCCCCCACGGCCCTTCCACTGCCTCCCACACCTTCTCCTTGCTGCAGCCCCAGTCCAGCCCAAGGCGTCGCCCAGCCAGGGATCTGGGGGCACCACAGGCTCTCAGAGCCCGCAGGGACCTCACGGAGCCCTGGGCCAAGCTCCAAGCCTCACTAGATGGAGGAACAACAGCCTTGCCTGCCCAGAGACACCACAGAGTGGGCAGATCGGATAAACTCGCTCTGGGAGACGCAGGGTCTGGCAGCGCTGTGGGAGGGGGGGCAGCCCTGGAGCTCTGCCACTGTGGGTCTGTCTCTACCGCTCCCAGCTGTGTGACCTTCAGCAGTTGCTCAACTGCTCTGAATCTCAGATTTCTCAGCTACAGACTGGAGAGGATTTGGGGTAAACACTTAGCTCAGTGCCCGGAAGGTTGAATGTGGCGGTGAGGAGCGTTAACCCCGCAGCCAGACTGCCTGGTTTGAACCCCACCTCCAGCCCAGGTGGGCTGGGAACTGGGGTTCTCTGTGCCTCAGTTTCCCAATCTATGCAATGGGGATATGGATAGTACCCACCTCCTAGGGCTGTTGTGAGGAGGAAGTTAGTCCAGACAGTGCTGCGGGCCCTGTCATCATCCCAGAGATGCCTAAGAAATGGTAGAGGGGAGAGCCGCTCACCGCACAGAAATAAAATTCAACTCCTGAGCCCCCTCTCCATACCCACATTTCTGAATCAAGCTGGAGAGCGGCTGTGCAATGAGGTGGTCTGGCCCCCCAGTGGAGAGGCTTGGAACAAGAAAGACCTCGCCTCCCAGGAGCCCTTGGCAAGGCCAGAGCCCCATTTCCCGGGCTCCCACCCCCGACCTGCCCCACCCCCTGGGACGTCCCTCGCACACCCCGCATCCCTGCCTGACTCACCTCTGCAGGCACCATCCCTCTTGTCCTACAGCTGTTTTTTTTTGTTTGTTTGTTTGTTTGTTTGTTTTGACAGGCAGAGTGGACAGTGAGAGAGAGAGAGACAGAGAGAAAGGTCTTCCTTTTTGCCGTTGGTTCACCCTCCAATGGCCGCCGCTGGCCCGCTTCGTCTGGCGCACCGTGCTGATCCGATGGCAGGAGCCAGGTGCTTCTCCTGGTCTCCCATGGGGTGCAGGGCCCAGCGCCAGGTACTTGGGCCATCCTCCACTACACTCCCTGGCCACAGCAGAGAGCTGGCCTGGAAGAGAGGCAACCGGGACAGAATCCAGCACCCCGACCGGGACTAGAACCTGGTGTGCCGGCGCAGCAAGGTGGAGGATTAGCCTAGTGAGCCACGGCGCCGGCCAGACAGCCGGGTTCTTAAGGAGGATCTCCCCTCGCCCCTTACAACAGCTTCTGCCCTGGCCATTGAGTCAGGGAGAACGAATGAGACACAAAAGAAATACGGCTGCGGGTGCAAAGAACTCAGGCACCTGATCTTGGTCAGAAAGGAAGACGGCGCCTTCTCTGGAAGCCGGGATCTTGACTGCACTTCTAGGTGAGGGGTGTCTCTAACTAGAGACAAAGCAACAGCCAAGGGGTGGTGAGAGGTCAAGGTTAAGGCAAAGGAGAAGGGGGGAAGGTGCAATTCAGAGCGGGGATGAGGGGACGGCAAAGGGGCAGAGTAGGTCTAGGGAATCACACTGGGGCGGCACTTAGGGCATCTTCAGCAGGTAGATAGACGCCCCCACGTATGCGCATTCACACATACACATGCACACACGCACACAGCTTCCCCACACCTCCCAGGCTCAGGTGACCAGAGAAGGGGGCTATCCTAAAAAAGTTCCTTTAAAAAGTGGAATGAAAATACAGGTCGAAGCCGCTGCACCCACAGTGGCTGCAGCACCCCCAGTGGCCAGTCCCACAGCCCCCACCACCACCAACACCACCACCACCGTCTTGTGGTGGCCGAGACAGACTCGGGCAGAGCCTGTACCTGGCCAGAGCGCCCCAGAGTGATGAATCCCAGCTGAGCCGGCTCCAGATCAGACTCGAGAGGGTGCGAACGCCCCAGGGTCTCCTCTCTCTCTGCGCTGTGCCTGACTCAGCTCCAACTTCTCTTCCCTCCCAGTTACACACCTAGAACAGCCACGACCTCCTGTGTGCGCGGTGCATAACCCCAGGGGATTCACTGGCTGGCGATTCCATGAGTTGCAGTGACCACCGCCCACTCAGCTTGGCCTCCAGGTTCTCTTTTTGGAGTAAAAAAGCATCTCCCTGCACAAGCCGGCCTGGGCTCTGTCCTGCGTCAGCCGCCCAGCTCCCCCGCCAAGCCCTTGAGCTCCCGCCCTGAGGTCCTCTCCCATCTGACATGGTCAAGTTCAACAGATGCTGCCCAGGCTTTAACACGGTGCCTGCAGATGCCATGTTTCTGTTCACGGAAATGCACTCCAGTGGTGGGATGGCGGCCATGACCGCACGCCAACACCGGTGACGCAGCCTTCTTCTGTGGCCTGGCCTGGCCTGCGGGACCAGCTCTGCCTCCTGCCCAGGAGCGGGCCCTTCTCCCAGTGCTGGCTCTCCTGCTTCCCAGCCTTCTCTGCACGCCCCCGGGTCACCAGGCTGCCAACTGGCAGTGTGGGAGGAGAGGGAAGAACAACAGGAACCTGTGCATGGGCCGCTCAGGTTAACACAGACCGAGACCACCCTAGAGCCCTTAAATCCTTCGTGCAAAGCGGATCTCGGATATTTGTGCGAGGACATAGTTGCTCTGCCCCCAGCCTCCTTCTCAGCCACCCCACCCTCACCACACCCCTCAAGTGCCCCAAGCAGAGCTCTGGGTGCTGGGAGCGTTGGGCAGAGGCCAGCTCAGGATCCAGGTGTGTCCTGCAGGGGACTGGGGCAAGACCTGGAGGAAATGGAAGAGGGGAGAGGGGCTAATAAGTCCTGGGTACCTGTCATGTGCCAAGGACAGGGCCGGACGACCCCTCCCCACCACTGCATTCTTCTGACAGCAGGTAAGAAAGCAGGTACGGAGGGTTCGTGGACACCGCCCACAGTAACACAGCCAGAGCCACACACCGTATAAAGCAGCGCCTCTGACCACAGTCAATCCTCACTACCACCCTCGCAGAGTCCCATTGTACAGATGAGAAAACCGAGCCTCAGAGAGGTTAAGTACCTTTGCCAAAGAGGCATGGCTACCAAGTGATTGCAGCCCCTTCCAGCTGGCCTCAAGAGTCCCCGGGGCTGCCAACCACACAGCTGTTTATCCCTCGGCAAATACTTGTGGGGCCTCCACTCGGCGCCAGGCATTGCGCATCTCTCAAACCCTGCTGGGTGCAGGCCTCTGACCTGGGAGGAAGAAGAGACAAAGACACAACCCCCACGTGCGGGGGTGCGTGTGACTCCCACAGCCGGGCACCGACCAGGTTCTGGCTGGGCCCCAGGGCTTGCTCTCCCAGTCTCCCCATTGACCCCTGCTTCTCCCACAGGCTTTCAACAGGGAGGCAGGCACCCTGGCTCTGCCACAGAGCCCCTGGGGTTGCTGGACCAAAAGTCTCCTGCCACCGGCTCCAGCTCTGCTGTGCCACCGGCTCCAGCTCTGCTGTGCCCCCGGGGCCCTGCCTGGGTGGGGTCTGAGAGCCCACGCCCAGCTAGGCAGGGCCCTGGGCATGTTGATGC